GAGAGAGAGAGAGAGAGAGAGAGAGAGAGAGAGAGAGAGAGAGAGAGAGAGAGAGAGAGAGAGAGAGAGAGAGAGAGAGAGAATATTTTTTAAAGTAAATTTAATGCTTTTGTGCCGCTATCGACACAATTTAGAGCTATTAGGAGGCAGGTTTCGACCCTGCCGGTCAGGGCCACCCGAGGCTGAGAATGATACAACATCCCACTTGCAAAACCGAGATACTCGAAAGAGAGTCTTCCCACTCGGGAATCGAACCCAGGTCTCCTGTGTGCGATGGCGAAGCGCCTAACCGTTACACCACACGCACCAGTTTCTCAGCAGTGTGAGCGAAACAACAGAGTCCTTTTGGTATGTGCACTGGCTCGCATTGATATCAGGTGAAAGATGAGTACGGGTAATAATAATTCATCCATCATAAGCTGATGATGGCCTTTAACATCGAAAACAGAATAGAAGTTATAGACCTTGCTGGCTATAGCAGATAGCTGGCTTGGCAAAGAGAGAAAAAGGAGAGGAAATAACAGCAAATAACTTGTGATGATCGCATACGTCACAACTCGCCAAAACAGTGCATTTCCGAAAATATTGCACACATTTGCCTGATGATAATAGATGGTAAAACCTAGTCTGATCATAATCATCATCATCCTGTGCTTTGCCGATTGGCGGGGGCGATCATGGACATCCACTCCCCTATGTCCTGCTTTGCAGCGATGGTGTCTGCTGTTCTTGCTGTTCCCAGCCATGTTGTTAACTTCTCCAGTATCTTTTCCCTCTGCCTGCCTCTGCCTCTCTTTCCATCAAACTTGCCGGTTGTTACAATATTCTCCAATGCTTCTTTCAGCATTGTGTGTCCAATGAAATTTGCTTGTTGCTTTCGTATATTCGTCATAAGCTGTCGTCTGCAATTTGCTTCAACCAAGACTTCTTCATTTGTTTTTCTAGCTGTCCATGGGATACGCAGCATGCGTCTTATGAACAACAACTCTGTCGCCTCAATTGTTCTTTCCAGCTTTCTATTGATTGTCCATGCTTCGCACCCGTATAATAGGATTGGCTCGATGTACCTTTTCAGTACTCTTTTTCTTGTTTCCAGTGACTGATCATAATAGATAGACGGTAAAACCTAATGGCTTCGCTTGTGACCTTCAAGGGCTATTTTTAAAAAAGACTTTTCCACAACGGCAGTGTGTGGCAGTACAAAGTTTTGAGAAATTATATGTTAAAAAATTGAAGTTTCTCGAATGCAATTATTCTTTGAATATCTCGATAACTACTCAGAATAATCTTACGATTCTGACAGCTGATAAAATGCGCCGTTTTCTGATCTCATGGTCTTGTAACTCAAAACGGCGAATATAAATAAATTGTCAGTTAGAACTTTGTAATTCTAAGGTAAAGGACATGTCACGACTTCATGCCACTGTGATTGGTCAAGACAGAGGGTCTCCCCACTCATCCACATCAATGGAGCAATCTTTCTGAGAAGTCTTCAGAGTGCCTTTATATCTTTTTGGAGGCACCAATGTTCCGCCTTTCACAAAACCAATTCTGAGTAGAAAATAGCTCTGGGGAGCCGTATGTATTGGTATTCGGACCAATCATCCAGCCCATCAGAGGGTAGGGTCATGACATTATCAGAGGTTGACATGTCCTCTCAGGGTTGTCGAGTGCACGGTGACGGATATCCGCGGAACCAAAAGGTCAAAGAATAGAGGACAGTGACGGATATACGAGAAGTCAAAAGGTCAAAGAATAGAGGACAGTGACGGATATACGAGAAGTCAAAAGGTCAAAGAATAGAGGACAGTGACGGATATCCACGAAGCCAGAAGGTCAGCGGAAAAAGGCGTGCAGAAGCTGATTACTCCAGGGAATGTCGTTTGATAGTTGGCGGCCTGTCGTTATTGGTTTTATTAAATTAATCATGATCTCTGACGGCGTCAGCGTATGACAACACGGTGACATTTGCTTTTTGTGAGCGAGTGCGTGTGTGCGTAGTGGCGTGCTCTCTCTCTCTCTCTCTCTCTCTCTCTCTCACTCTCTCTCTCTCTCTCTTTCTCTCTCTCTCTCTCTCACTTTCTCTCTTTCGTTCTCTCTCTCAGTCTCTCTCTCTCTCTCTCTCTCTCTCTCTCTCTCTCTCTCTCTCTCTCTCTCTCTCTCTCTCTCTCTCTTCACTTTCTCTCTTTCGTACTCTTTCTACTATGTAAGTGCGTGATTGTTTGTTTGGGTATAGGTTTTTTTTGTACGAGTCCGGCATAGACCAGTATTATCTATCATGCAGAAGTTTCAGGGCATTTCAACACAAATATTATGTCTTTTAACATTAAGTGTCGAAGATAAAAGGGGTTTCTAGAGAGTAACATACCCAGAAAGGAAGGAAGAGACATAAGAATGACAGATGTTTAATAGGAATAGTTAAAGACATAATAAACTACACGAACCAGAGCGCCCACCAACCACCCACATAAAGATTTGTTGAAAAGTTTCTGCTTTTTAAGATTTCTTTCCCTCAGTACAGACCCAGTGGTTAGCCTACAGGACTCGTAATCGTGAGATTGCGGGTTCGGGGGTCCGAACCTTAGCTCGGCCCGACGTTGTGTCCTTGGGAAAGGCACTTTACATGAATTTCCCACTTGATTCGGTCCTTTCAGAGACGGACGTTAAACTAGGAGGCCACGCCTCTTAAATAACCTAATAGCGTTGATAGAGGCGTTAAACCCATACCATTTCACAATTTTTTGGCAGACCCAACAGGATGTAACCAAAACGTTATTGGAAGTGACCATTGTCCCTCTCAGTACTAGATCTAGATGAGGGAAACCCACTGTACAATCTAGCATATTTTTTTCTTCCCTACGAGTGGTCGTGTGTGGACAGTTGGACCTACCTGCGAAGTCGTTGAGACTGGTACTGTTGTTGTTGCTGTTGCCGCCAGTGCCGCTGGGGGGTGTGGTCGGGAGAACGCCCACTGACACCATGTATGAGCTAGGGCCGGCCGGGTGGGCGGGGCGAGGGAGGGGGCGTGGTCCAGAATCACGTTGATTGACAGCCGTCGTCGCGATTCTCGATGTGGTAGACGGAGTCAGGGTGGAGGTTGTGATGTATAATTATCTTTGTGTTTTCTTGTTTGTTTGTGAGCGTGTGTTTGTGTGTGTGTGTGTGTGTGTGTGTGTGTGTGTGTGTGTGTGCGTGCGTGCGTGCGTGCGCGTGCGTGCACGTGCGTGCGTGCGCGTGCACGTGCGCGATGAGTATAAATATGCGTATGCTTGTGAAAATGTCCACGTATTAATTTTTTAGATATCCAAAGCCCTCTATCTCCTGCGTCAGCGAAAAGGTCCGTGTCTGACCTTGACCTGAGCGTCCAGGTAATGTGGAATGTATTCTAAGAGAATTGGAAAAGGTTTTTCCGTATCCAGGGTTCCTTTGATGTTGGCTCAGTGTCGTACCTCTGCCGGCATCGACGTGCTGAGACTCATTGCACGCGATGGTTTGACAGACTTCAATTCATAGACTAAACTGACGTTGACCGTTTGTTGAGTCATTCCATGCCAGGGTTTAATTAACAGATTTCAATTCACAGACCGAACTGAACTAGAACGTCTCTTGAGATATTCTCTGGTATGTTTTAATCCACATCAACTTCACTGAAGTTGAACTTATGGTCTACTCCACTTCGGTTCACAAACTGTACGTAGGTTGAACGTTTCTTGAGGCATTCTACTCTGTAATTTGAAAGACTTCAATTCACAGACTAAACGGTAGTTGAAAGTTTCACGAGATATTCCACACAATGGCTTCCACTTTAATTCACAAAAATTTTGAATCACATTTGAATGTTTCTCACTGACTGTAATGTCATCTTGTAAAACCAAGCCATACTCCCACCAAACTATTCACGTACACAATACCCACACACAAAAGAATGAATAATTCCAAATCTAACAAGAATCTGCCACAGTAAGGTCCCCGTTCACAGCTAAGCACTAGTAGAAAGTAATATAATAAAATACAACTACCGATTCCTCTGAACCCATTTCATGGTCACATTGTATTTATTAATACTAACACCGCACAGGTACGTTTTGATTACATAAATTGCAATAAACCTGTTCACAGCAACGAAAATCTCCCGAATATGTTTATTCTGTGAATTAACAATTCCGAAAAGGGGTTTAGAAGGGACCGACAAATAGTCTTGCTTCACAGAGAAGAGATGTCCAGAAGAGGTCAACGAACCGCCTTGCTTTACAAAGTAAACGATGTTCAGAGAGTATTGTCGAATAGCCTTGCTTCAAAATTTAAAAGAGGTTAAAAAAAAGTATTTGAACTTTGCTTCACAGTAAGCGATGTTCACAAGGTTTTGACGTACTGCCTGGCTTCACATTAAATGGTGCTCAGAAAGAATGGTCGTATAGCCTTGCTTCATAGTAACAGTAAACAAAGTTCTAAAAGTATTGTCGAATATCCTTGCTTCATAGTAAACGATGTTCGGGAGGGCTCGACGAATAGACTTGCTTCATAGTAAACGATGTTCGGGAGGGCTCGACGAATAGACTTGCTTCACAATAACAATACTATGCCTGTTCAGCACTTTGATAACGATGGCTGCTCCAAATGGGAAACGAGAGCTCCTTGCTGGGAGACTCGACCATGAGAGAGACCTTGGCACATGTAACTGAGAACTGAGCTGGGCAATCTCTCTCTCTCTCTCTCTCTCTCTCTCTCTCTCTCTCTCTCTCTCTCTCTCTCTTTTTTTTTCTTCCTCTGTCTCTCTCAACACGCCGTGACAAATCGATGCGCTGATGAGTTTTCGCAACAGCCTCCGCCTCTGTTTGTGTGTTAATTAGGTCGTCGGGTCAAGGCATATTGCATCTGGGGAAAAAGAAAGAAAGAACAATGATAATGATGATAGTAACGATGATAATGAGGATGGTAACAATGATGATGCTGATGATGATAATGATGATAACACATATTATATATAAATATATATATAACACATATATAAAGAGAATGTTATAGATAGATAGATAGATAGATAGATAGATAGATAGATAGATAGATAGATAGATAGATAGATAGATAGATAGATAGATATCATTAATGATACACACATCTATCATCTATTTGTGGTGGCCGAATTTTGCTATTCAAACGGCTTTTTAATGGCTTCATCGATGGACTTGCGGCTTTCGCTAAAAAAAATTCTTTAAAATATTCTCCAGATCATGACGCCCTTGTTTTTTTTTCAGTTTTGAGACAATTTTGCTGCAAAAAGCTAAATTTCTTGATTTCACCGATCGCTTTTTGTAGCTAGGCCGACGCTTCTGTCTCTGTAATTTTAGAAAATTCGGAAGTGATATTTCGCGAGGCGCATTTTGTTTTGAGAGTATAGATTTAGATCTAGATTCTAGACCTACTCATTTTTGCATCTCTCAAGATTTATTTCCCCCATTCCAGAAGACTGTAAATATAGCAGGCCTGTGACTTAGTTGATATTAAAGCACCGATCATTCCTTTCATCAAAAGGAGGCCCAGCTAGTAAATTATATTGACCCC